CACACACACACACACACACACACACACACACACACACACACATACACACAGAGAGAGATTAAAGAAAGGAAAGGCAGAAAAGACAAGGCAGATGTTTTTCTGGCTGTTGGGCAGCACAAGGAAAGAATTTCCCAACAGGTTTCCAGTTTTTCAAGATGCTTTATTAGATTTGAGCCACTGGAGCTCGGGAGCAAAAGCACTCTTACACCAATTGTTTCTCTGGATTTTATTTCCAGACATTTGTTTGTAAACACACACGTTCCTATTTTTGTTCCTGTAACTTTAACACACTTTAAATGTGTTTGCATGGGGGCTGTCTTTTACGAGTGCATTGCCAAACAGCTCTTATTTTACGAGGTGATACTTGTATGTTTTACCAGAAGCCTGAGACGTTCTAGGTTGTTATGACACAAAGTGGAAAAAAAAAAGGTTACCTTGACAGACGAAGGAGGCAGGAGACTCTCCGGGGTGAACACGAGCTGTGAGAAAAACCAGCTTCTTCTCCCTTTCTGAGTTCACGTGATCTAGAAAAAGTAGCGAGAACAGTGTCAGGGAAAAGATGTGGAAAAAACATGGTTTTATTCACACACAAAGCAGATAAAACAGAATGCATTTAGTCATAAAGAAGAAATTAGAACCATTTAAACTTGACATTAATTGAATCCACTTATTTTTTAATTTCTCGTGTAAAAAGGCTGGATTTTGTCCTGGATGTCTAATTTCAGACAGGTGGGCATGAGTCAAACATCAAACTAACACTCTGCACAGAATATTCAACAGTCGAGGTGAATTATACATCTGTTCAGGTCAGGATCAGGCTGGAGAAGGTGAGAACTGAAGGAGGTCTTCTTTGAGTGAAGACTTCTGCTGCGTCTGTAGATTTTTCTTTGGTCTGTGATGGATATGAGCATGCACCTGCTGTGCTTGCGTGGGTTTTCTCAAGAAAACTTTGCTTCTTTTCATAGACCAAGAAAAAAAAATGCATGTTAGGTTAACTGGACTTAATGTGTCTTGATTGTTTCATGTGTTCCTGAAAGAACGAGATCCCAGATACAAATAGCAAAAATGAACGTCCTTCATAGGGTGACCCGGATCAGCCTTAGAGATAAGGAGAGGAGCTCCATCATCTGGGTGGAGCTCAGAGTAGAGCCGCTGCTTCTCTGCATCAAAGAGTTAGTTGAGGTGGTTCATCTGATTAGGAGGTGTTCAAGGCACGTCTCACAAGTAGGAGGCCCTGGGGAAGACCCAGGTCTCACTGGATGGATTATGTATCCTCTCTGGGAACAGCTCGGGGTTGTACCCCTGTGTTAGACTCACAATCTTTCTGCGTATTTCTCATCTCACATACAGTTTGCTGGGATCCCCTTGATCATAAACAGGACATAGCGGGTAGTTCTGTCACGTTAAGCAATAAATCAATTAATCAATAAAGTGAAATGAAGTCAATAATTTTCATATGTCTGCGTGTTTGTTTTCTTCGTCACTCCCTCTTTTCTACTCCTCAGCATGGTCTCGTAACCTCTGTAGCATGAGAGACCCGCGAACAAGCATTTAGCCAGAGGAGCGTCTTCGGTTTTCCCACACCTTCTTTCAGCTGGCGATGCCTCAGGACGCCCTCAAGGCACAATGCAGAACCTTGGGTTCGTCAAAAGTTTTTTATTTTTTTGTGCACTTTGTAAATTTCGTAAACTTCTATAAACTTTGGAAGCAGTGTGAGGGTGACCGCATTTAATTAATGAAGCCAGAGGAGGACACCAAGAATAAATTTCATGGGCTCGGATAGAGGAAGCAGGAAGTGAGTTTACAGCTTTAGCAGCTGTTGTTGTGTGTTGTTTTCCAAATCTCCGTTCAGTTTGTAACTTTTTCTTACGTATGTAAATTTTGTAAACTTCCATGAGCTTTATAAGGGCAGGGAAAATATCCTCATAATGATATTATTGTTTATCAAAAATGATTTCTGAGGCATTTTATTGTATAAATTAGTTATTGTGACAGGCCAAGTAGCAGGTAAAGAAATAAAAATAATAAACAATAAATAATATATTTAAAAAAATTAAAAAGCTGAATTGAGACACTGTTTGGAAATGTTTTCCTTAAGTACAAATTAAAAGTTACAAAAACCTGTTTCTATGTTTTAAGAATGATCAATGCTCATATTCAAAACAGCCCTATGTTCAAAAAAAAAAAAAAAAAAAACAACAGAATCCATTACTGCAATCCCAGACTGGTTTAAATCTACAGAGGTCAAAGTTTTGCTGTTTTCTTGGCCGGTGTTTCTGCTCTAATCTGTTGTTGCTAATGGATGAAAGTGATTGTGTTGCTCATTGCTATACACAAACCTAATATCTTATTGATTCTTCCATCCTCTTCTGCTGAGCAGAGAAAATGCTAATTAGCAACAGGCTATGCTCCTTTCCTTCTCCTTAATTCCAATTTAACCTCAGAGCAGTGTGTGTGTGTGTGTGTGTGTGTGTGTGTGTGTGTGTGTGTGTGTGTGCGCGCGCGTGTGTGTGCAGAAGTGTGTACAGGTGTCTCTTTGAGTAGTTAGGAATCGTAAACAACAACAAAATAAAAGAAAAAGATCATTGTTCCATTAAAGTACTCTGCCTCTGATTTCATTTTTTCTTTTTCCTGCCTCTGCCTTTCACAGAGACAAATGGGTTTGCCATTCAGGAGTCTCTGAGGGGCGGAGCAGGCCGCTTCTTGTAAATGTGAGTGCTTGCGGTTCGGCTGGCCGCTGGGTGCTCGGTGGCTGTGAAATTCCATCACTTAGAAATTCTGCTTTGGCCTCAACCCCAGGCGGCCACACAGGCTTGTGATACAAGAACACAGCCATGACACACACACACACATGCACCAACACACACATCGTACTGTGAGAAGAAAAAATAAAAGAAAACAGGCATGCAACCATTTTCAAAAAAAAAAGAAAAAAAGAAAGTTGTGTTCCAAAGCAGAGGCTGCTGCCAAACTTCTGACTGTCAGGGAATTCAACCATCAAGCTACATTTAGTCCCAGTGTTAGTGTGCCCTTGCTGCTTCATCAAAACAATCTCTTCCAGCAGACTCCTGCAGCTTACAATGGATGTAGTGTTTATCCCACATCGCTCCGTGTGTCTGCGTGTCGGTGTGTGTGTGTGTGTTTCTCCGTGTGTCTGTGTGAATATGTCTCCTCAGGGCTCTCACAAACGCTCCCCAAGTAGCGATTGTGTTTACGCGCCTGTATCTCCTGCATTCCTCTGTATCTCTGACTGTGCGCAGCCAAGCATTGTAGCACAAAATTAAGTCCCACTTTTCCATAGGCAACCCGGCGTCCACAGGGGGAAAACCTGCGGAAAGCAGCTACTATAGCTTCACTAGACGTACAGGAAAATCACTTTTCAAGCTCAGGCGGCGGTGACATTTAACATGTTAGGTTGGGGTCAAGTTGTGGCTGCGTCAAGATGGATGCAGTGGCATTTCCCGGCCTGAAGGTGGCAGTAAAGATCAGGTGGATGCTGACCGGCACCTATGGGAATACGTAAATATATCATGTTTAGATGAAAAGACAAAAGTAAGGAATTAAAGTCAAATGTTCTTCTCAGCACAAAATTTTCTACTGACAGTTTTCAACATCTGTAGTAAAAGAGAAGAAGGGAAATAAATTGTTATCAAAAAAGCTTGTCATATAGAGTTAAATGTGGAGACAACATTTCTGTTTTAACAAAAAAACAGAAAACATCAACTTTTTTGAAGTTATTCCGTTTACAGTATTTAATTTATAATAATAACAATAACATTTTTAACATTTTTTGCACAATTATTGCTTGTGCACTTTAAAAGATGAATTAAAATTTGGATAATAACATAACAAGAGTCCTTTAATACTGTAACTGAATAAATAAACATATTTTATTTCCTCTTTTTAACAAAAAGAAAGCATGAGAATTTATTTAAACAAAGTCCTATTGTTGGGTTCTCCTGTCAAGTATTGTGTTCATGGGGCAGGGGCAGACACCCCCCCCCCCCCCCCCCCCTGTTTACAGAGCTGCTGTCAAACATAAACCATATTCACTTTTATAGACAGTCTGCAACTATTATAAAAACACACAAAATGAGCTTTTGTCTTATTTTAGATTTGTATATTTTATTATAAGAAATAAAATTTATCTTTACTTATGTCTATTTCTTATTTTGAGGACTACAGCTAAACATAATCCAGCTCAGTTTTAGATTTAGTTTGTATTATTGTGAGTTTATACTTTGTAAAGCTTCTATTATGTGTCTGATAAATTAGCTACTTTGATGTGATTTATGTGAAGATGCTGCTGTAATTTCCCTCTGGTGTATATCTCACATTTTCTCCATAGTTTACATATATTAGGTATCCAAACAGTTTTGTGACTTACATCTATCATCGCAGCCCCGCTGTGCTGAGATCTCTTCCTGCCTCTCACTTAAGCCTGTCTCATACCATCATTTTATCGGTGTACTGTCAACAGCTGAAAACATGGCTAAGAAATGAAAACTAAAAAAAGAGGAAAGAAATGAGTTGCTTGTAAAAATGCAGGTATATGCTACAGTAAGGAGGGGGCTGGAAATGGAGAGGTGGTGGGTGACAATGAGTGAGTGAAAGCAGCAGAGGCAAAATTTATGCCCACACTTTCAAATCAAAGTGCTCCCTCAGCACATTTCTCACCTGCCAAAGTCAGGCACCACACCACGCAGCGTAGTGCTGCTCATTCTCTCGCGGCTTGCAAAGATGAAAAAAAAAAATTAAAGGATGTCAAACTAAGATCAGGTCTGATAAATATGTAAATTACTGGCAAGAAGAAAACTGCTAGTGGGAAAAAAAAACACAACATAAATCAAATGGATTGTGAAGGTCAGTCCTGATTGTGCTGGTCAGCTCTTTCTTTGACAGCAGTCTGAGGAACTTTAGGTTCAGTCTCATAAGTTGTGACATGATGTAATTAACTGAGATCTTCTTCATCATTCCTCCTCAGACAGTATAAAAGGGAGCGCTGTCGAGGCTTTTTGAAGACAGGGCATTTATTTAAATGTAATTACCCATATTTAAAGTCAATTTGATTCATGCAGACAGACAGATAGAGAGGTTGCTTGCGTTTTAAATATCACTGTTGTCCAAACTTTTGGACGTGAAAAGGCAACACATTCATCCAAACTGGACACTAAATAACATCTCAAGTTTTAAATAGAAGTAAATAAAATGCAACAGCTTTGGTTCTTACACACAGTAATAATAATAAAAACATACATTTTACACCACAAGACTCAAACCAAGGCCCCCCTATATTGTTGCTCTGTGGGTTTTACACTGTAATAAATTAGCTTCACTTTGGTGAAATGGCAACAAGACACGCTCAACGCTCTGCTCAGTGCGTTATATCGAGGATGGGCGCGAGCTGTAAATTGTCACTGATGTTGAATTTATACAGAGCCTTGGGGACGAGAGGCAGCGCTGTGTGCTGACCAGCTGAGTGAGGCCCAACAAGCATCAAACCTTCACAAACACACACACCCTG